GTGGCTGTGAGCCTGGGTGACAGAGTGAGACTCTGATTAAAAAAAAAAAAAAAAGCACTGCCCCTCTGGTGTGGCCTCCTCCTGTCCCTCCATCTGTCACATGTAGTTTTTAGATTTTACTCATTAGGGCCCTGGACTTTGTTGCACATCCCTCTCCTTACTATTTCTACCTGTAAAGTGAATATAAAGCTAATAACATGAATAATGATGATGGAAGTAACTCTTTTTTTTTTTTTTTTTTTTTTTTGAGTTGGAGTCTCACTCTGTCGCCCAGACTGGAGTGCAGTGGCTGCTCCCGGCCACCGCAACCTCGACCTGCTGGGCTCCGGCGATCCTTCCGCCTCAGCCTTCCAAATAGCTGGAATTACAGGCATGCGCTACCATGCCTGGCTGATTTTTTGATTTATTGTAGAGATGAGGTCTTGCTGCCCAGGTGGGTCTCGAACCCGCGGGCTCAGGCAATCCACTCACCTCAGCCTCCCAAAGGAGTGGGATTACAGGCTGAGCCACCAAGTCCGGCGTAACTAATTCTTATATATTGCTTATCATGTACCAAGCTCTGCCTTTTTTTTTTCTTTGAGTTGGAGCCTCACTCTGTTGCCCAGGCTGGAGTGCAGCGGCACACTCACAGTCACCACAGCCTTGACCTGCTGGGTTCAGGTAATCCTTCCACCAAAGCCTTCCAAGTAGCTGGAACTACAGGCACATGCCACCACATCCAGCTTATTTATTTATTTATTTATATTATTTTTTTCTTTTGAGTTGGAGTCTCACTCTGTCACCCAGATTGGAGTGCAGTGACTGCTCCCAGCCATCGCAGCCTCGACCTGCTGGGCTCTGGCGATCCTTCTGCCTCAGCCTTCCGAGTAGCTGGAATTACAGGCATATGCTACCATGCCCGGCTGATTTTTTGGTATATTGTAAAAATGAGGTCTCGCTTTCCCAGGCGGGTCTTGAACCCGCGAGCTCAGACAATACACTCACCTCAGCCTCCCAAAGGTGCGGGATTACAGGCTGAGCCACCGAGCCCAGCTTTATTTATTTATTTGTTTGTTTATTTATTTATTTATTGTAGAGATGAGGTCTCGCCAAGTTGTCCAGGTTGGTCTCAAACCCATGGGCTCAGGCAATCCTTTCACCTCGGCCTCCCAAAGTGCTGGGATTATGGGCGAGAGCCACCGTGCCCGGTCCAAGCTCCGTCTTAATTTTTTTATGTATATTAAATCATTTAATCTTCACAATAACTGTCTGAGGTTACTGCTGCTGTTATCTCCATGTATAGATATGGAAACTGAAGTACAAAGAGTTTAAGTAACTTGCTCAAAGCAGAAACTGGGATCCGATCCAGACAGAAATCTCAGGCTATCAGAACATTCTCCTGGTCAACTGGTCTCTGTCTCTAAGGGGGCTCATTCCAGCCCTTCTCTCCACCAAAACCAGGAGCAGAGACTGGAACACGGCACTGCCTTTGCGAATCTATTTCAGAAAGAACTGATGTCCTTACATTATTGAGTTTTTCTATCTATTTACATGGTATATCTATCCATTAATTTAGCACTTTTTAATAAAAAGTCTTTTAATAAAATTAAAATTTTTTCTCTTATAAAAGACATTAACATATTTTTTAAAGGTTTATTCGACCAGCCTGGGCAACATAGCAAGACACAATCTCTACTCAAAAAAAAAAAGTCTGGTGCGGTGGTTCACGCCTGTAATCCCAGCACTTTGGAAGGCTGGGGCGAGAGGAATGCCTATGCTCAGGAGTTCAGGACCAGCCTGAGCAACATGGCAAGACCTTGTCTCTACAATAAATGAAAAATCAGCTGGGTGGTGGCACTTGCCTGTGGTTCCAGCTACTTGGAAGGCTGAGGTGGAAGGATCACCTGAGCCCGGTAGGTTGAGGCTGCAGTAGCCATGAGCATGCCACTGCACTCCAGCCTGGATGATAGAGTGAGACTACAACTCAAAAAAAAAAAAAAAAAATTGGCCA